TATATATATATATATATATATATATATGTATATGTGTATGTGTGTGTGTGTGTGTGTGTGTGTACGTGTGTATGTGTATAAGGTTCAGAATTTTTTTTACCTCAACTTAAAATGCAGAATTTTCTGTAATTTATCATTTTCCCAGATGTAATTGATCAAAATGTTTGGTGTCCAAATGTTGCTTCTTTAGTTTATAACTGGAGCTACGAGGCCGATGTTACCAAACAGTGCAAGTCAATAGTCACCCAAATCATTTCTGTGAATACATCTACAAAACTTTTGTCAGTCTGCTTAAACCACATCCTGGTTTTCATTAAGGTAAAGCAGACTTGTCAGTGTGGTTTAGGTCACAGTGTTCTGACAGTTCAGCCATTTTAGAGAAAAGGTGTTATGCTGAATTTCAGCAGCTCTTCGCGTTCATATGGACGCGCAAATTTCTCTTGTTCCAATTATGAACTGTTTAATCATCAAGCTGTTTTCTCAACCGAAGGTGTGGTGTGTATTTGTCATGTATGTTTAGTTTTGTTTATTTATTGTCTTGTGTTTTTATTGTCCTGTGCCGTATTGTGTATTTATTGTATATTCTGCACTTGTGTATCTGCGCTCTGTGTAGTGTGCTGCTGTTGTGTGTTCCACCATGAGGCCTAAGGAACTACATTTTGTTCCAACTGTGTGCAAGAAAGACCAATTAACCTTTATAAAACACATGTATATGTTCAGCTATACAGTGACGTTTTGTTTTTGTAGTTCACAGTTAGTCAGGCTGTCTGCACACCCTTATTAAAGACTTGCAATTTGAGTGGGTTGAGAAGTCTTAGGTATGTATTTACAGAAGAAAAATGGGTGACTATTGACTTCCAGTGTTTGTTGGCAATGTTAGCCTCACAACTCCAGCTCTAAAGTAAAGAAACAAAATTTGGACACCAAACCGGTCTGGGCTGATTGACTCTAACTGGGCTAAGTGGACATGGTGGACATTAGATTTTTTGCCAAACTGTTCCTTTAATATCACCATATTTACAGTTTAAGTCAAGCGCCCACGTGCAGTGCATGCAGTTTCGCACTTGTTTATAAATGTCTTCCTGGTCGCGGTTGCTGATTGACGCTGATTGCTGGTAGTGAAGGGCTGAATCAGTCTGTGATGCTCTTCTTCCTGTCTCAGTGAAGGGAGGGGTGGTGCGTGTGTGTGTGCTGGGTTTGGCCAGATGTTTTCCCTGTAGAGTCTGTGTTATGGACCCCAGCAGATTGTTTAGTCTGACATGCTCACATCTACACGGTTAACCCCTTAAACTCCTCATTATTATTTAGTAACCAATGTGAATTACTGAGTAACTACTAGAAGTCATTCAGTATCTGCTTGGAACTCTTCACTGTGACTGAACTGTGAAGCTGATGTGTTTAGTTGTGAATGAGGGACTGAAGTGTGAAGGCCGGATCTCCCAGACTCTGATTAAGCCGAAGCCTCTACTAACAAGAATGGCCACCATTAACACTGCAGTGTTGTCCATGACTAGACTTGATCTATGAGCTTAGAGTTTCCTTTCTTTCCTTTCTTTCTTTCATTTTCTTTTCTTTTTCTGTTTTTTTTCTGTTTTTTTTCTGTTTCTTTCTTTCTTTCATTTTCTTTTCTGCTTTCTTTCTTTGTTCTTTTTCTTTTTTTCCTCTTTCTTTTGTCTTTCTTTCCTTCTTTCTTGTTTTCTTTCTTTCTCTCTTTCTTTCTTGCTTTGTGTTTTGTATTTCTGCTTTTTCTTTATTTTTCTCTCTATTTATTTTTCTTTTTTTTCTGTTTTTCTTTCTGTCTTTCTGTTTTGTATTTCTGCTTTTTCTTTATTTTTTTTTCTTTTTTCAGTTTTTTTTGTCTTCTGTATTTCTTTTTCTTTTCTTTCTTTTTTCTTTCTTCCTTTCTTTTGTTTCTTTGTTTTTCTTTCTTTGTCCTTTTTCTTTCTTTCTTTCTTTCTTTCTTTCTTTCTTTCTTTCTTTCTTTGCCTTTTGTATTGCAATTCTTTCTTTTTTCTTTCTTTTTCTGTCTTTGTTTTTCTTTCTTTCTTTCTTTCTTTAGTCTGAAAGTAAATAACACTAATGTGTCCCTCTCGTCCTCATAGACCGACCACTTGTTTTCGTTCTCGGCCTGTTTGTCATGTTCTCTCTCTGTGAAGGGGAAGATGTGCAGCTCCACATCTGTAACTCTGCTTGCACCACTCTGTTTTTTTAAAGCTGTGAGGCCCCTTTAGTTGCGTTCTCTCTGCAGTTCCTCAGCACTTCCGGGGTGTGTGGAGTTTCTTTTCTTGTTAAGTCGAGGTTAAGCAAGCTTTTAATTTGACCTGTGGCAGCTCAAGCCCACAAACACGAACCATACTGTGACATTACACTGCTTAACAAAACGCCCAGAGCTCAAACACCCGACCGGCTGAGTGTGAACGGAAATGAACTGTCAGTGGGCGGATTTGAAAGTGAACTGCGTGATTTCTAGGTCAATCGTAATTGTTACTTTGTTACATATTTGGCAAATTTCAATTATGTAGCAGAAAGCGATTATTTTCCATGCTTGTTTGATTTCTCATACAGTTACATTACAGCAAACAAAACGTGAATTGGCTTGATTGAAATGATTTCACTGAGGCACATCTTTGGTCCCACAGGTTGGAGGCTGTAACTCTGATCTTTAGAGAGCAGAGCTGAGTAAAGTTTGTTTATTTGAGCTCATGCTGTGCCTGACTTCACCTGAAAACTTTACTCTAGATGTGCTGGAGTACCACCTGCATGGTTAATCAGCCGGTTTGGCTGCTTTAGGCTGGTACTTTAACAGTTAAATTAAATTATTGATTGCAAATATTGATATGAAGAATGTGATTGGGTGGATTCTGGAGTGAAGAAGGTGATTGGGCGGATTCTGGAGCGAAGAAGGTGATTGGGCGGATTCTGGAGTGAAGAAGGTGATTGGGCGGATTCTGGAGTGAAGAAGGTGATTGGGCGGATTCTGAAGTGAGATGAGTGGGTGGATTCTGAAGTGAGATGAGTGGGCGGATTCTGAAGTGAGATGAGTGGGTGGATTCTGAAGTGAGATGAGTGGGCGGATTCTGAAGTGAGATGAGTGGGCGGATTCTGAAGTGAAGAAAGTGATTGGGCGGATTCTGGAGTGAAGAAGGTGATTGGGCGGATTCTGGAGTGAAGAAGGTGATTGGGCGGATTCTGAAGTGAAGAGGCTGATTGGGCGGATTCTGAAGTGAAGAAGGTGATTGGGCGGATTCTGAAGTGAGTTTTGTAACTCTCACTTCCTCCTAGAACAACCCAAACCACAGATGAAGGCCTTCTGTAGCATCTGTGACCAACAAGGGAGTGATCACACACACCAATGGGTTTCTAGCTGCTTAGAAATTAGGTCAGAACTTCCTGTGTGCAGAAAACACTCTTCTGGCTATAAAACCTCCACCTTTTTCTCTTTTTTTTTTCACCTTTCCGCTTTTAAACCGGTAGTGTGAACTGAGGGCAAGTTGTAGGCCCTAAATAGTATGCTAGTTGTTCATTCAAGTGTAGCAGTCTAGTAAAATCATTTTTATTTATAAGATGAAAGTAAATAACATGAAATTTGTTTATAAAACACATTAAAAAATGAATGCTATGAATTATTTATTGTCAACTAGGAATTATTCAGTAAGCACTGGGAATTGTTCAGTAACTACTATAAATTATTCAGTAACTGCTATGAATTATTCAGTAACTGCTATGAGTTATTCAGTAACTTGAGAGAATTATTCAGTAACTGCTGTGAATTATTCAGTAGCTGCTGTAAATAATTCAATATCTGCTATGAAACAAATATGAAACTATAAAGTTCTGTGGTTATGAGAGTGAGGGGCTGTAATGTGGACCCCACCTACAGACCCTTATTGTTTAAGGGAGTTAATTATACTGTTTACAGTATTTTTTTGTTTCTTATTTAAAAGAATACACTCGCAGGCATCAGCTGAAATTGGATTAAAGATTTTCTCAGTCCCAGATACCTGATGTACCACGATACCTAGTTTTATAAAGCCTGATGGGCAGCGCGGAAGCTTGGCCTTGTGTTTGTGGCTCTGAGTGTTTATCCTTGCATGCGATGACAGTATCACTCGACACACCATGACTCGTCCTGTTTGTTTACAGCGTGCACTGATGCGGTGCCCCACGGCTCGTTGAAAAGTAGCTGTGATACACATTGTTTGTTTTGGGGAAGTGAAAGAGCAGTGTGAGGGCAAAACCCTGGGGGCTTGGGTAATTGAAGTGATAGTTTGGCAAAAAAATTACACAACTTTCTCCTTACCACAATTTTAGCCACCCACACATGTTTGGTGTTTGTTGGTACTTTGCACTGGGCTTACAAGGCTAATGTTCTTTATACTGGACCTATGTAGCTAATGTACTTTACACTGGGCCTATGAGGCTAATGTACTTTACACTGGGCCTGTGAGGCTAATGTACTTTACACTGGGCCTGTGAGGCTAATGTACTTTACACTGGGCCTACAGGGTGAATGTACTTTACACTGGGCCTACAGGGCTAATTTTCTTTGCACTAGGCCTATGAGGCTAATGTACTGTACACTGGGCCTATGAGGCTAATGTAGTTTGCACTGGGCCTATGAGGTTAATGTACTTTAGACTCGGCCTACAAGGCTAACATACCTTACATTGGGCCTATGAGGCTACGAAGCTTATAGCCACCAGCTAGCCTCACACGAACTGCATGCCTAAATTATCACACACTTGCCTCAGACAGTGTAGAGTTCTTCTGTAATGCATATAGACTTACTTATTTACTTACTTAAATGTGTGAGTTTTGTGGCGTCTTTTTGTGTTTCTTAGTTTGTCTCTCTCCTCACACCCCCTCCCTCCTCACACCCCCTCCCTCCCCACACCCCCTCCCTCCATCATTATTATTTTAATCTAAACAGACTGAAAAAAGCAGTGAAATGAATCAGGTATTTACTCATTGATGTGGAAACGCTTGTTTTTGTCTTCCAGGCCCAGAATAAAGAAACAGGTGTGCTGGCCGCTGCCAAGGTGATCGAGACGAAAAGTGAGGAGGAGCTGGAGGACTATATGGTGGAGATTGAGATCCTGGCAACATGTGACCACCATCACATTGTGAAGCTGCTTGACGCTTTCTTCTATGATCAAAAGCTTTGGGTAAGATCAACTGGCCTGTTTGGCTTCTGCTGAGTCTAGATGTCGTCATCATCATGGAGTGTTGGTTTGGGTGGGTAACAGCGCTGCAGCTAATGAGTTAATTAGGGATGAGCACCAGCTGTTACTATCCGAATACTGAACTCACTTTTTGAGTATTCAGTACGCTGCATCACGGAAAGTCAGGGAGAAAATATACAGGCCATCAATTCAGTAAAATGCCATGAAGTTATAATAGTGCCATAAAGTGACAGTTTTGCTTACATTTGCAATTAAGTAAATAGTATTATATTATACCACTGGATTAAATGAGTAACAGCGTTGAAAGTAACAGGCTTTTTAGCATAGAATTAGAAAATACGCACAATGTGGTTGACTAGAATCCATGATAATGGCACTAGGACATTAAGGACATTCTACTTATTTTACTAAAATGTACTTTTTAAATAAATAGTTTAGTTCCTATTTTGACTGACGGGACTGTTCAGGAAATTTGGATGTAAATTCTTTTTGAATATGTGACTAAAGGTGAATGTGTTCAGGTAATCATTTTAGCTGTCAGTCATTTTTTCAGCTAAAATGATTTTACATTTTTCGTAATTCATAATGAATGACTCATTAAACAGGACATTAAAAGGATTCACACATTGAAGTATTTCAGTGATTATACAGGGTATAAAGTGTAGTCATAGTGGACTGAGACAGGCAAAATGCAGTCGATCAGCCAAGACACGTTTGGAGTCAAAATTTTTGCTTTATTGCTAACGAACGTTGAAAGTCAATAGTCACCCAAACCATTTCCGCTAATACATTCCCAAAACATTGCTCAACCTGCTCAAACCGCATCCAGATCTTAATTCATATCATGCAGGCAAGTTGATGAGGTTTAGAGCAGTATGACTCATTATGAACAATAAAAAATGAGGAAAAACTTTTTTTTTCTTTTTTTCTGCTTTTGTGATAATGTAATTCCAATTTTAGCTTAAATGTGTAAATAAGGTCTATCCATGCTATACTAAATCATTTTTCAAACAAGTTATTATAGCTTATCAGCATAATTTCAAGCAAGTGTATGAAGGTTTTGGTGTGTATTTGTGGAAAAGGTTTTGGTGACTTCACTGTTTACCAGCAGCATCAGTTCTGAACTAAACAAGCAACATTTGGATGACAAACATGTCTTGGCTGATTGGCTGTATGTGGAAATTCATGTAAATTAGATTTTTTTCTTTAATGTTTTAAGTTTATTCATCTGAAATATTAGATATTTATTTGAAAAATGCACAAACCTTTTTGTAAAGGATACTTGTTTAAAATGTCTTTCACCTTCACTTTCCATACGTATTTAAAAATGTAACATCAGTGGTACCTCAATCCCGAATTCACCCATTCACCCTTCTGTCACAGTTCTCCGGTTCTTATTGTAGTGGTAAGTTATAGGGTTTATATATGTAATGTAAGTTACGCAAGTTCTATATTTTATGTAAGATTATATTTTATGTAAAATAAGTCTTTCCATGAAAATCTAAGATTTTGTTTGTTGTGTAAAAGTAAGTATAGCAAAGTAATTGTATCTTCAGTGATCCAGTTATTGGAGTAATTGGGGTTTTTCACTGTCATTATGACAGTGTAGTTGACATCAGGGTGGTTCTAGCCTAAAAAATGGGCTCCCAGTACAATACAGTACAATAACTGCACAGAAAGTCCAAACCAAAGAAAGAAGGAAGTTCAGCCAGGGACCCCACCCCTGTTAGTAATGTCTATCAGTTGTTTCCAGTTTTGGAGCTGCGCCAACCACTGGCAAAGATGTATAATCCCAAGAGAGAGGTTTTGAGGAGTGAATCTTCCCAGAATTCTCTGCCTTGCCCAGATCTCTCTGTGGGGGTGGAACTGTCATAGTTTAAGGAAGGCTTGGCAGCCTTAGTCATTTCTGTATTACTGAATTGTACAGGACTCTGCGAGGGCTAGTATTTGCCTATGAGGCAGTGGTCAGATACCTGTTTGGAACTGCACTCTAAAAAAAGAAGTAATAAAAATTCCCCTCCTGGTAAACTGATAGTGGTTGGTATAGCGTAGTGGGTAACATCTCTGCCTTCCACACTGTAGGCTGGGGTTCAGTCCCCGCCTGGGCAAAAACACCCTACACTTTACCAATAAGAGTCCTTGGGCAAGACTCCTAACACTGCCTTCGTCTACCTGTGTAAAAATGATCAAATTGTAAGTCGCTCTGGATAAGAGCGTCTGCCAAATGCTGTAAATGTAAATGATAGACTGATGGATTCAGGAAATGAAAATATTAGCTGTGATGGTGTAACATATCGGGGGAAAAAAATAAAACAGGAAATATGACTTGTGCCAAAGTTATGACACCTTTTATATTCTGATTAATTTTCTTCTAACATGTTAACCTCAGCAAATAAATAGAAATAGTGCAGTAAAATTATCAGAAACATTTCATATTTTAGTGTGTTGCCTGTAGAGGATGTGTCGACTTATTTTCACTCAGAAAATCAACAAAATGTAATTTGACAAGGGGTGGTAAAACTTTTGCACATGACTGTAGCTTGGAAGCTTTAAAAGATGATAAATGGGCCTGAAAAAGCTGTACAACCTCAGGAATCAGAAACATTTTGTTAAAAAAATTAATATTCTGAATACCTCATGTTTTAAAAATGTGGTCATCAGATCTTGAAGTAGAATGGACTGAGGCGCAATCTCTGTATCTTCCCACAGAAAATGTGTGAAGCAACGTGTCGAGTGAGATTTACGACCTCGTCTCACTTTAGTTATAGCAGCCGTATTGCACTAGTAGTAATGTAGCTGATAGCACTATGCAGGTAAGTGCACAGATACACTCCAGATGTGAAATGTGAAAAAGCATTGTAAATCATTACACTGTGCCATTTTACAGAATATAACACATCACAATCATTAAAATATTGAATAAAACATTAAATATAATTTGGTGTCTAGTTTATACATATTATAGATTATTAAATCTACATTGTTAAATGTATTACTGTATATAAAATAACAAAAATATATAATATTACAGGTTATTTCAAACGTTTAAACAATAGTGTAGGTAACGAATAAATAAATGATTCAACCAAGGAATAAATTAATGCATTATGTATTAAAAGGGAATTCAACTGATTTGAAAAATTTCAACATAATTAATTGGTTAAGATGTAAAAGTCATTCAGGGTGGTTTGGTGTGAAATGCTCTGTTCTAGAGAAACTTACCAAGTCAGAACTGTTCACAGTGGTGGTGATAGGAACCAGACGTCTGAAGAATCTGAAGCTCCCTCACAGAAAGCTATTATACAACATAGCTATAAATACACCGCCTGATTAATGAAGCTGATAGTTTCAGTTCATGTTACTTTTAAGATCAGTTTTTGGCCTAAAACATATATATTTTTTTAACCTGTTCTTGCTGGAGAGGTATGTGCAAGGCTTTGTAAGCCAAAACAGCCCAAAGAAAACTTGTTTTTACAGATTTTTCACTATTTTACCATCAACATTATGTACAAAAACTCTGAAGACACATGTAGGTTCACGGGTGATTTTAGACAGTAAATAAAATGCTGTATTTGTGTTGTAGACATCGTGACGCCTGGTTCCTATCACCACCACTGTAAAGAAATCTGTTTCGATAAGTTTCTCCAGAATGGAGCATTTCACATGAAGCCCCTCTGAATATCATCTTGCTGTCTGAATTATGCAGAAATTTAGAAATATCTGCAGAATGCCCCTTTAAGCCTTACGTAGCAACTGTTTTTAGCTAATGAACCAACTTCGAGGTTCTCAATGATATTATGTGCTAATGGTCTCTTTGATCTACATCAGCTTGTAGTTAAAGGGTCAAAAGTTCTATAAAGATTTTGTCAAATAAAACCAGAAAATCAAGGCAGAAAACCAGAGAATTCATTCATAAAAGCTCCATTCAGAAACCTCTGCACTAATCCAGTGCCAAAAACCTCTAACAGGCTAAAGTTTATGAATCATTATGGGTCATGATTACAGGCAAAGAGACTATTAATAAATCTGGAGGTTTAGGAACATTACGGCTGATTGTCTTCTGTTTCGAAAGATTGTCATAAATCACCAAAAACTGAAATTACAATTTCATTAATTGTCTTTATTGCTATTGAGCTGTTACCCTTGGCTCCTTCATCATAGCAGCAGGAACATTTTTAAGGCCTTTTCACTTTAATGTCAGTCTACACTGCTTCAAAATAGATGCATAACGTGAATCGTTTCTCTGTTGGTGGTGCTTTGCTTGCAAATCCAGGCCTTTTTTTATTGAGGAACTCCTCTCGGCCTCGTGGTGCCAGCGGTTTCGGCTTTTTTTTCTTCTTCCAGCATGTGAAGAGCAAACCCTTTTTTAAAGCATAGCTGGAATTCCTCAGAGTGAAAGGTACATTACTCTCACTCGGGGGTCAGAAACTTTCTGTATTTGAACAAAGCACCCCAGATACAACCAGCGCTGTGACCTGGTGTTATTTGAGTTTAGCAGGGTCAGTGGCCTTCTCTCGCTGAAACTGCAGGGAAGGAGTTTGTTTTTGAGCTTGGGTGCTATTTTTAGATGGCAGTCAAATGGCTAGACTGAGGCTCTGTCACTGTATAGTCTTCCAAAGGTGCGAAATTTGACAAAAATGTGTGAAGCAACATGTTACGAGAGTGAGATTCACTACACCACCTCCCCTCATCACTCGCGCACAAACTCAAATGTGAGGGTGAAATTGGCTTTTAATTTGCCAGCTTCTTGTTCGAATTGTCCGTTCCACCTTAAATGTTGCAGGCACCAGTTAGCTTCTTATTTGTGAACTTCTTATTAGAATTATCTGTTCCACCTTAAATGTTGCAGGCGCCGGTTGGCTTCTTATTTGTAAGCTTCAAATTTGAATTGTCCGTTCCACCTTAAATGTTGCAGGCACCAGTTAACCTCTTATTTGTAAGCTTCATAATTGAACTGTCTGTTCCACCTTAAATGGTCCAGG